GGAATGAAAATGACGTTACATACGAGGTTGATGCATTTGTGCATGTCGTACTAAGCAAGGTATAAAAACAGTTGCTTTATGAGGAATTAGTTCGTACCATTGAATATTTGACGCAATAGACAAGGTGTCGCAGAAACCGATGTTGCTATAACCAAGTTTTACTGTATATGTAAAATCGATAAGGAGCATAAAGTATGCAAAGGGCATTTAAGTGAACGTAATAAAGGCAAGAGTACAAATCAGTACTGAGAACTTAACAAGAATATGAGTCAAAAGACACAAATAAAATTAGAAAAAGTTGTTATTTGCATTGCTTTTATTCATATTATAAAGATCTAGAATATGTTTCCAGTCAGTCCACATAGGACATGATAGAATAAGTAACAAAAATATAAAGGAAATCTTTTCTAAGCATTTTTTTTTACCCGACACCTTTAGTTTCATTACCCATCCTCCATAGATAAAGTCCTTGGTAGAAGAAACACAGTCATTTGGTCTGTATACTTGTAATTGCTCAGACTTACTTCACCTATATCAGAATGTGACAGATTTATGTTTCTCATTACAGATTGTTGCGTGCACCCACCCTATATGGAATATCTCATGACCGTCTTAAGGAAGATCCTCTTTTGGAACAGTATAGAGCTGACTTAATTCATACTGCAGCCTTGCATTTGGATCACAGTGGGCTTATAAAATATGATCGCAAGACAGGACATTTCCAGGTGAGTGACAGCCGTATAACCAAAATAAATGTGGTGCATTGACAAGGTAGTCAAAAGTTAAGGGACTGTTTTTATTATAGGGAACTAAATCATGTGGTAGATGGATTAATCGTTAACAGATGGACTTTTAAATTGCTGGGAGACCTCTGCGGCCAGTATTTAAATCGCCCTAATTAATTAACATTGCAAACTTTCAGAAAGAAATACATATTTTCCATTCTATGCAACATAGAAATATGAACTAAAAACAACCTGAAAGACAATAAAAAATTTTACATATACACAAAAGAGCAATTTTTACAAACGAAAATTAACCATGATTGTTTTGTCATGAAATGCAAAATATAATCTTTATTATACAGGGTGTCCCAGGAGGAATGTGCCAAACTTTGGGAGGGTGTTCCTTATGTTATAGTATGCTGATATAACCCAAAACACCTATGTTCAAAGTTGAACGGTTACGGAGATAATGGCCTGAGAAAAGTGTGGTCTTCTGGCGAGTCCACGCACTGTACCTGTCAGCTGGCATGTCTTATCTATGT